CATACATAAATAAATACATAAATAATAAAGAGGGAAAAAAATAAAATAACCATCCTGGAACTAGGTGATGTACAAGGCATTTTATGAATGGTGAAGGAATCAAACAAGCAACCCCCTGTGTTCAGATGGGAAGCCTGTTGGACAAAACCCAGAAGATCACAGCTCTTGTTGTATGTAGCATGGACTACTGTTGTGATTGCTTTCTCGGTGCCCTTCTGGATATTACATATGGATACTTATGAGACAAGCTAGCTCAATGTAGATATGTAAACAAAATAATTCCTTGAGTTTAGTTTTAGGCAACTGCACATCCATGCAGGAAGTCAGGTGGCAGCAGGTCCTATATTCAGGCCTCCAAACATCCAATCAAGTGAACAGCAAATGTTTGTTTACTTTGAATAACCAACCATGTGCAGATGAACTAAGTAAACAGGAATTTGCTTTTCACAAGTCTGGATAAATAAAGTCAATAGTCACACAATGTATTGAGCTAAGATTCACAATTCCTAATTCTCCATGCTGACCTACCACATTATTGGGCTCACCTTTATAAGTTACTTTCTAAGTGGAATTTTATCTAATGAAAAAATGAATCAATAGGTTCTCCCTCATAAGTAAATGTAATTTTCTGTAACTTTAAACATAAACCACAATGCACAAATAATAACTCCTAATACATTTTATCAATAGATGCTGATCCACTGTCATTTTTATATACAGTATATATTTCTACTTTGCCTCTCACACCTATTCACTCCCTATGGACCAGAGCAATTTTTACATTTCTGCTATGGCCCTTTGTATTCGGTGATAACTTTGTTCTTAAGATAAGAACATATTAAGACATTTTTAATGAGTATTGTCTTGCAACAATGTTTTTTTTCTGAATCCTTGAACAATTAAAAGCAACAACACATAATAAAATGCACTTTTTCTTTATTTGAGCAGTGTTCGTTTAAAAATAAATTGTGTAGCTGCTCATAAAAAGTGCAGCTTTAAGCGCATGCGTGGCGATCCAAGATGGCGGATGCGTGAGAGCTGAGCTCCGCCGACCCTCAGCCTTCACGGCCCTCCCGCTACCCTCCTGCAGCAATCACAGTACCGGGAGAGCTCTTGGATTACTGAGGTAGACACCTGCCGTTTCGGGTTAGCTTCTGTGTTGCTCCCTTGTACGTTAGGCTTTCAGCCCTGACAACTCGGGATATTTTCATTATCCCGGGTACATATCTTTGATGATATCTTTGTTTCCAGCTGTAATCCCTATGGCCTCTGTTCTGAGTGATATATTTGTGTGTTCTAGGCCTGTTGCCATGCTAGTCACCTGGTTTTCTATTTCTGTTATTTTCTATTTTGCCTCATCGATGATATTTTTTATATATGCTTTAGATCCTCGGGAGCAGATATTATATTTTATTCAGGAAACCCATTTCAAACAGGATGGCTCGTTTCGCTTTGCCTCCAAGAGTTTCCCGCAATCCTATTCGGCTTTTGATCCCTCTGGGAAAGCTGGAGTAGCTATTTTGATCCAGAAAAACTGCTCCCTGAGGATCTCCTGCTCTCGGGTTGACCCATTTGGTCGTTATATCTTGTTGGAATGTATATACGAGGGCTCTCCATTTGTACCTTTGAATTTGTATGCACCCAACTCTGGTCAGCTGTTTTTTCTCTCTCAAACTCTAGATAAATGATGTTACCTAGGTACGCCATGCATGATTGTTGGGGAGTATTTTAACCTGGTTATGTGCCCTCCCAAAGATAGAAAGGTGCTTTTTGCACCCAGTTCGTTGAAGAGGCTATGCTCCTCCTCAATGGCTTTCCGTAAGCTGATCAGGGAGCATCGCCTCTTTGACGCCTGGCGAGTCAAACATCCTCTCCATAGGCAATTCACGTTTTATTCTACTCCACATCGCATGTTCTCTCGATTGGATCATTTTTTTGTCACCACTCCCCTGATCCTCTTTTTGGTTTCTTCAGAGATCAATTCGATGACTTGGTCAGATGATGCCTCATTGTCACTTGATCTCCTTCTTCCTACCTCCTCCCTTAATGTCTGCCACTGGCGCCTCAGTGAGAGTTTTTTGCACTTGGAACAACTTCGAGAGGAGCTCTCTCAGGCTTGGATACTTATTTCAACTTAACGTTGGCTCAGTATCCTCATCCTCAACCCTCTGGGAAGCCCATAAGGCTGTTTTCAGAGGCCTCTGTATCTCCATGGGCTCCCATTTAAAGAAGCCCTCTGTTTGTGCCAGACACTCCCTTTTACATCAATTATCCTTAGCCAAATGTCAGTTGTTAGATAATCCGTCTATACCTAGGCTCCAGAAGGTTTCCCATATACGGGACCAAATCAAAGCTCTTGACCTGCATAAAAATGCTCAATCTCTCGCCTGGGCTAGGCAAAAATGTTATGCGTTTTTTATTAAACCGCATTGCATGCTAGTAAATAGACTTAAATCTAAAACGTCCCCATCACTACCAGCCACCTACTCCAGTGTGATGGCAAACCCATATATGACCCGCATGTTATGGTTACTATATTTGGGGAATACTATGAGAAGCTTTATAATTGCCTAGCCCCTGATACTCACACTCCCCTTCAGTTGGCTGCTTTTGATGCATTTTTTGACTCATTACAATTGCCGTGCTTGTCACCTTCCGATGTCACAGCTCTGAATGCAGACAAATCCATTGACGAATTATTGGATTTTGTCAAACCAGGCTGGATGGTCTTCCTTATTCCTATTACAAGTCCTTTATTGGCATTTTAGCCCCCCATCTTCTGGCTTCATTTCGGGATCTCCTGAAGGGTCGCACCCACACAATGATTTTACCTGCACATACATTTCTGTGATCCCTAAGCTGGATAAGGACCATTCCCTTCTGGACAATTATCGTCCCACAGCTTTATTAAATTCTGATTACAAGATTTTTACGAAAATTCTAGCTAATAGGCTGGCCAAACGTATCTCCAAGCTCATTCACAGAGACCAGGTAGGCTTTGTGTCCCAGCAGCCAGACATGCTGCAGATAATACCAGGAGGACCATTGACCTGGTTGATCTTGTCAATAAGTCCCTGACTTCTACTCTCTTGTTGAACTTGGACGTGCAAAAAGCATTTGACTGATTAAGTTGACCATACATATTTCCAGTCCTGGAGTGATTTGGGTTTAGGGGTTCATTTGTAGCTGCTTTAAAAGCCCTTTACTCCACTCCCTCTTTCCAGGTCAAATTAGCATCGTTCTTATCCCCTTCTTTTTGGATGTCCAATGGTACACGCCAGGTTTGCCTGCTTTTCCCTTTGCTGTTTATCCTCTGTTTAGAACCCCTGGCTATAGCTATCAGATCCAACCCAGATATCCATGGGATAAGCACCCACAATAGTGACCTTAAACTGTCTTTGTTCGCTGATGATATCTTGCTGACACTGACGGAGCCCCACATTACCCTGCCGGTCTTACATCGTACTCTACAGCTTTTTGGTGCCCTGTTGGGTTATAAGGTTAACGTGTCTAAAACTGAAGCATTACTGCTCCACATACCACCTATTATGTTATCTTCTCTTCAATCAATTCCTTATCGATGGTGCCCACACGCCTTGAGGTTTCTAGGTAACAACCGCTTCTTGCCACTCCCTTTATGAGGCTAATTTTTCCCTCTGTTTCATGCTATTTCTCAATCCTTAAAAACTTGGGACAATCTTGCTTTCTCCTTCCTTGGCAGGATTAATGTACTAAAAAATGACCATACTGCCCAAACTTCTGTATCTGTTTGAGACGCTTCCTGTTTTCTATTCCCATGTCCAAGTTGCGTTCCCTTCAGAAATCTTTCCTCCACTTCATTTGGTATAATAAATCTCACCGAATTGCCCATAATGTCCTTCTCCTTGATCTAGGGGAGGTCTGAGGGCCACACAAAAAGAGGGAAAAGGTAGGCGGGGTAACTTTATATTAAGCTCAAAGACTCACCTAATAATAAAGGTGTGGGTGTAAACCTAGCATATTGCAAAGAACAAAAAGTAGTAGTTGCATAGCGCATACTACCAAAGTAGGTAATAACCACCCAGGCAATGTAGCTCACGTGTAAAACCACATATTTATTATTCCCATGATAGGGAAAAAGAGTGATATCTGTTGACAGTGAAACACACAACCACTGAACATGTAATTAAAAACAATACAAAAAATGTAAAATTATAATTCTGGTACAAAGCATAGCAAAGTTATTTACAAATGAAATTAAGTGGGGTTTTTGTGCAATTTTGCACTTTTTTCAACGAGAGATTTGTAAATATATGTTAAAGGTGTAAAAATATTAGTGAACAAAACAAACAAAAATAAAAAAAGTTTAAGTATTATTAGTTAATAAATTAAAATTACCAAAAAAATCAGCAGGGAAATAATAATTGAATGGAGAATAAGGAGTTAATTAGGGCTGATTAGAGTAAACTTAGGGTTAATAAGGGGTTAAACAGAGGAGAATTTAATAACATTTTTTTTTACTTGTGAGGTTTGCTTTAACCACTTACCTACAGGGCACTTATACCCCCTTCCTGCCCAGGCCAATTTTCAGCTTTCAGCACTGTCGCACTTTGAATAAATGCGCGGTTATGTGCAACAGTGTACCCATATGAAATGTTTATAATTTTTTTGAGACAGATAGAGATTTCCTTTGTTGGTATTTAATCACCTCTGGGTTTTTTTTTTCGTAGTTTCTGTTATAACATTTTGTAAATAAGTGATTTTTCTCCTTCACCGATGTGCGCTAATGAAGCTGTAGTGATGGGCACAGATAGGCTGCACTGATAGGCGGCACTGATGGGCACTGATGAGGCACTGGTAGGTGGCACTGATGGGCATTGACAGGCATCACTGATGGGCACTGAAAGGCAGCACTCATATATGGCACTGATAGGCGGCACTGATAGGCAGCACTGACTGGCACTGATAGGCAGCACTTACTGGCACTGTTAGGTGGCACTGACTGGCACTGTTAGGCAGCACTGATGGGCGCTGATAGGCGGCACTGATGTGCACTGATAGGTGGCACTGACTAGCATTGATAGGTGGCACTGACTGGCATTGATAGGTGGCACTGAAAGGCAGCTCAGATGGGCACTGATATGTGACATTGATGTGCACTGGTAGGCACTGATATGTGGCATTGATGTGGCACGGATGGACACTGGCAGGTGACATTTATGGGCACTGACAGGTGGCATTGATGGACACTGACAGATGGCACTGATGGGGCTACACTGATCATCAAAACACACTGATCATCAGTGCCCTGATGATCAGTGTAGATGTCCCCTCTGAGTAATGCCGATTACTGGCTCTCCTCTCCTCACGAGCTGTCAGCGTGACAGCTCGTGAGCAGAGAAATGCCGATAACCGGTATTTCCTTATTTACATGCGATCAGCTGTGATTGGACACAGCTGATCACATGACAGAGCCGACGTCTTTGGCTCTTTCCGTTGATCGGTCATCCGATCCTAGGGACACAGCACACCACTGATCACTGCGCCGTGCACCCCCTCTTAGAGTTGCGCCCATCATTTCCTTATATGGGTGGCGGGAGGCGGTTAACTGACCTCATCTGCAAATCGAAGTTCATCCGTTTGATCTGTAGATGAATAAACAGATACAAAATGAAACATTGTTTCTTTTGAGCAATGTCATTAATAAATTGCCAGACTGCGACAGCTCCATCCATCAGCCATCAGCTCCAGCCTCTGTGTACTCAGCAATTTCAATTAATCAGAGTTGAATTGTCAATGTGACAGGGGAGATCCTGGGAGCGGGGCAGAAAGACTGGGCATATTACACACGCCTCTGCCACTTGACACTTTTTTGGACATGTCTAACACGTCCAGAGTGGGCAACTGGTTAAATTGAACTGTCATTTGGAGGTGACTGTGTCACTATGCTTCACTTATTTGAATTTAAAATGATCAATTGATTTTGGAAGACTCATTTTATGAACCAAACACATTAGTTGATCATTATTAACATATGAAAAGCAGTGCAATTTAATTATCAATAAAATGTTCTGGCAAACCTATGTTGCCATTACATTTTTATTTTTTGGCAGATTGCTTGACATAATAAAGTCCTGCAAAGTTAGTTTGCTCTATGGTGAATCCAATGCACAACATGGATTTCAGACCAAACAAATCTACCGTACTATAAATGTGACTGTTGTATACTCATAGATATAATAAATCTCAAACTTAAAACAGGTCCTTTGAACTTTGGTCGTATTGTTTTTTTTTTCCTTTTAGAAGTTTTAGTTCACTGGCCAAGAGAAAAATTTGAACTGGATGTTCCAGAAGAATAAACTCTTTTCAGATTTCCAAAAAAAAAAGACAGGACAAAAGCTCTATTCATTTGGAAGAAAAAAACATAGAAATGTAACGTTGTTTTATATTATAATATATATTTTCTACCAGCTGATTTTAATTTGCATTTCATTTAGCCTTGGCACAATATTCTCTCATTATGAAAACTTCTTGTAAACTCATTTTAAAGTGGTTTTAGACAGCTAAAGTATGTATTTTGTAAAATTATAGTGGATTCTGTTCATTTAGTAACTAGAATGTTCAGTTTAAAAATGAATGTTAGTAACTAAGGTAATTTAAAAAACAGGATTTTTTATTAGCACATGGTCACCTTATTTACTAAGCTCAGTGAACATTCACTTTACAAAGTGAACAGTACCTACTACTGTAGTAAATCAATTAAATTCTTTATATGTAACCACAAGCCGACGATGGATAGTCCAGTGACACACACACATTGGAGTCTATTTACTAAAGCAATAATTAATTCTTACTTTGCAAAGTGAACTTTCACTGAGTGTAGTGAAAGAGGTGAAACAAAGAATAGCAAAAAAATAGCAAAGAATACCTAATGCAAGAAAATAGCTAATATGCAAGAAAAATTAAAAAACAGGATTTTTGCATGCACATGATTGAATGATTGAAGCATGAACCACCCGATCACATTGCAAAGTTAATAGTCTGTGCTTCTTTAGTTAATCGAATCAATTGTTAAATGATAAAACAAAATAACTTCTGTGCTGCCACGGGCTATCCAAATGTGCAAATAAACAAAAGAAATATCAGCTGCTGCAAACCAAGTTCAAACACCAAAAAAGACATATATAAAGAAATGTGTTGTGCTGCTAAAAAAAAAATAATTAATGAATTAATATTATTCTAAAATGTGGCTTATAGTGTCTCAGCACCTATGTACATACACTCACCAGCCTCTAGATGTCCTTATATGCATTTAGCTGTTAAAAAATGGTAAACAGTGCCTTTCGTGAGCTTACAGTGCTAACTTCATATACATACACTCACAAGCCACTTTAATAGGTACACCTGTTCAATTGTTTGGTAGAATAAAATGCTAACCAGCCAATCACATGGCAGCAACTCAATGCATTTAGGCATGTTGACGTGGTGAAGACGGCTTGCTAAAGTTCAAACTGAGCATCAGAATAGGGAAGAAAGAGGATTTAAGTGACTTTGAACGTGGCATGGTTGTTGGTGCCAGACAGGCTGGTCTGAGTATTTCAAAAACTTCTGATCTATTGGGTTTTTCGCGCAGAACCATCTCTTTGCAGAGAATGGTCCAAAAAAGAGAAAATAGTGAGCGACAGTTGTGTGGACAAAAATTCCTTGTTGATGTCAGAGGTCAAAGGAGAATGGGCTGACTGGATCTGGATGATAGAAAGGGAACAGTATCTCAAATAACCATTCGTTACAAGCAAGGTATGCAGAATACCATCTCTGAATGCACATGGTCTGATGAGTCTCGATTTCAGCTGTGACATTCAGATGGTAGAGTCAGAACTTGGTGTAAACAACATGAAAGCATGGATCCATCCTGCCTTGTATCAATGGTTTAGGCTGGTGGTGGTGGTGCAATGGTGTGGAGGATATTTCTTGGCAAACTTTGGGCCCCTTAGTACCAATTGAGTATTGTTTAAACACCACAGCCTTCCTGAGTATTGTTGCTGACCATGTCCATCCCTTTATAACTACAGTGTACCCATCTTCTGATGACTGCTTCCAACAGGATAATACACCATATCACAAAGCTCAAATCATCTCAAACTGTTTTCTTGAACATGACAATGAGTTCACTGTACTCCAATGGCCTCCACAGTCACCAGATCCCAATCCAACAAAGCACCTTTAGGATGTGGTGGAATGGGAGATTGTGCAACTGACAAACCTGCAGCAACTGCATGATGCTATCATGTTAGTACTGACCAAAATCTCTGAGGAATGTTTCCAACACCTTGTCGAATCTATGCCATGAAGAATTAAGGGCTTTTCTGAAGGCAAAACGGGGTCCAACCCGGTACTAGCAAGGTGTACCTAATAAAGTGGCCAGTGAGTGTATATCCATATAAATTGCTATCCATCACCCTCTAAAACATCCACATGCATATGTGTCCATCAAAAGTCATTAGGCAGTCCAAAATAACTTTATCTACTCTCAGTATTCATACATGTACATACAGAATGGGTAGTGATTCCAGGTTCCCAGTGCTGCAAAGCCAAAAATACTCTTCCATTTTGTGTGTTCCATCTCTAGTGATGTTAGGTGTGCCCTCACCTTAATAAAGTGTCTTCTACAGTAGATATAGGCCTCAGAGCGCTTTCTCTACTTCAGTGTAAAAATGATGGTAGTGTAGTATTTCAAATCACCAACAAAATGTATAAAACAGATGCACTTACAAAGATTAAATTACTCTCACATATACAGTATATACAGTAGTGTACTACGGATCTATCAGCTTGCAACTGCCGCACTTTCAGTCTGCAAGTCCGACGTCATCTGACCCGGCCTTATGAGTATCATCACTGGATCACGTGACTTCACCCCGGGATCCTGATATGCATGTGACCTTGCATTGTATTTAGATAGGTCATTCATTTGAATGGGCTGTCCAACACATTACATTGGACATAAATTGTAGCTGCAGCAGTTTTTTATTACAGTGTGCCTTACTACAGGGTAGTGCACTACTGTGTGTTGCAGTATGCTTCAATGCAGGTGGGTTGGGGTGCCATTCAAAATTACAGTATCACATGTGTTTGCAAAGTGCACCACAACATGTGTCAATGCAATTGTCCAAGTGCATCGTTATGCTTTTCATTGTGTATGGCACCCCAGCACAGTATACAGTAGTAGCCAACACAAAACATGGTAGCACATGGTACTAGCAAGCCTGGCCGGCAAGCTGAGCTATGTTACATACTGCTATTGTACTCTTTATGTTGTACTTTAGATTATACTCCTGGCTTCTGAATTTTATACTATGTTGTTCATTACTTTTTCCTATCTGCTGCGTTGTATAAACTGGGGTGCATTTATCAAACTGGAGCAGCCAGAGTCTGGAGAAGCTGTGCATGGCAACCAATCAGCTTCTATCTTGAGCTCATTCAGTTAAACTCTGAAAATGAAGGATAGATGTTAATTAGGTGCCATGCCCAGCTGTTCCAGATTCTGTCTGCTTGAGTTTTCATAAATTCCCACTCATAAACAGTCCTGACCATTTCACTCTGTAAGCTGTGCTCTATGTTACATATTCCTGACCATGGTGTGTATTGTCTCAACAGTGACTGGTTGCTAACAAGTCTTCAACTATTTTAATGATGTTCTTTAAAGCAGACTTGTAGTGTTACCTGTCTAGCTATATTCTATATTCAGAAAAGATTACAAAATGGAAGAGTTTCATTTTTGAAAAATGGGTTTTATGTGTGTACTTATGAGTATCTACGAGACTTGTGGCAGTGTAATTAAAGAGTGATTTGTGGGTACACAGACATATACGTGTGGTGTGTACTGTGAGTAGGCAGAGGATCTATTAAGTCACCTCCACTATTTTCACATATTAGCCACACCCATTTTTGCTGTGACATACTACATGTGCTTTAGGTCTTCTACATGCAAAGATGTCTTCTTAAAGTGGTTATAAACCTCTGACATGAAAAATGAACCAATCACATTCTTCTATAGTGTGTACTAGCCTCAGTCCAAAGCATTGAGTGTCATTTTTTTCTGCTCTCTGATCCCCTTGCTATGAGTCACTGATTCAACTCTCTGATACCACAGCCTCCCTGGAGATGGCCCACCCCTACCTTCACACACAGTAGGAGATTCATTGCCTTAGCTCTGTATGTTTTTCTATGAGTCTGTGTAGGGAGGAAGGGGGGGTTGTCTGCCACTCAGCTATCAGATTACAGGGAGCTCTGTGCTATAGTTATGCACTGTTTGTGGATTCTGATCCCCACTCCCTGCTTTCTGCTGCTGAGAAAAATCTCTTGATCTGAGTACTTTGAACTGATGTGAGGAGAGGTGGTTGCAGAGAAACAGGTACAACCTTTGTAGGAGGATTTTTTTCATCTCTGTGTATCACTTGAGACTAGTCACTTCACTAGGAATATATTAGGGCTTCCAACCACGTTAGGTTTCAAAGTTGGGA